GGTGGTTTACTGGTGTGCGAGGGTTTCCCGCGGCGAATCGGAGCAGTCGTCGAGCAGTTCGGTTCTCGTCGTGCGTGTGAGAAGAAGTTGGCGAAAGGAGCTTCCGCCCCGCGAGGGAGTCATCGATGGTTCTCGCGGGGTGTTGTGTGCGGAAGGGGATCTCTCTCTCGTCGTTGTTGTTGTGGTTCGAACTGTGGTGGGGTGACGGAGAGAGCCAGCCTTTGTAGCCCAAGGTCGGGGGCGCGTTCACTCGCAAACGCGCGCGCCCGGGGACGACGTGCAGTGGTGGTGGTGGCCAGTAGTGGCCCCACACACTCGGCAGCACGTCGCTGTGGGGATGGGTACAGCCGACGCTGGATCACGGCCTGGATGAATCGAGAGAAATGGGTATGTAGAGCCCTCGTTGTCCCTCGCTGCCTCGTCTCTTATGCGCCTCGCCGCCTTGTGTAAAGCCTACCGTCGTCGGTGTGGTGGGAGGAAGTTATGTTTGAGGAATGCACGGTATGCGTAGCGCGTGTGCGGCTGTGTGTGTGTGTGCGGCAGTGTGTGTGTGTGTGTGTGGAAGATGACGTACGCGGCGTGGGCGTCATGATGGATCCTGCTGGCGACGGTCATGGGCGACCGTCCACCAGTGGACGAGGTAGCAGGGTAGAGATAGAGTCGGGTAGTTCTCTCGCTGGGGCGGTGGCCTTGGTGGGCGGCCAGCGCGCGCAGCGATCCAGGGCCGCGGTCCAGCGTCGGCTGTACCCATCCCCACGGCGACGTGCTGCCGAGTGTGTGGGGAGTGGGACGCAGCGAAAGGTCTATGTCGACGCGACGGGCCGGGCGGTGGCGGATTGGCAATAGTACGGTTGCGGGAAGTGGTGGCTTGTGACGATTACGGTCGATAGCCCTGGATGGGTGCATTCATCACGGCTTAGGGTGAGGAAAACCGAAAAAAAAAACAATGCAATGGGCGGAGGGGTCAGGGAAACCTGTGCGCTATCAGAGCCATGGACGGAGTCAGCGAGAGCGTCTTCCTCAGAGCCTTCCAGATCGAGTGACGACCCAGAATACCGAGAGGGAGATGTGCACAAGCTTAACTCTTTCAAGAGATCACCTGCGCCAAAACGAAGTGGCACTCGAGGTTAACCGCTGTAGGAAACTGTAGAAAGAACCAGCTAGCATACCTTCTGGTTCGAAGTTGAACCAACCCAAAGCGGAGCTATAAAGTTGAGGTTGTTCAGCTTCTGATGCGGGCTGTGCCATGGCACCATGGCCGAAGGCTAAGTTGAAAAGAGAGATAGTGGGAAAAGGTTCAGCCACTCAAATAAGACACCAACGGGACAACTCGTACCCTCGGGCACTTGTGCGCCTGACGAAGCGGAGAGCTGCGTGGGAGGAGGTACATCTGAGCCGCAAGAGAACCCGCCCATCATAGAATCGTCGGTCATGTCTGAAATGAAAGGAGGAGATCCAGCATTGTCCTATTCTCAAGGCAATCAGATCAGCCTCACAGTGGCATATGGTAACACATTGACGTTGGACGTACCGGGGTGATATCTGCAGGGTCTTGAACTTCTGAGCCCCAATGAAAGGGTGATGAACCGGTATGTCCCGCCTCTCGGCAAAGATGGGCTAGGGGGCAGTTGCTGCCATCTTGGTATAGATGCATGGACTGCACATAGAATCGTAGGAAATATGTAGTGTCAAGCTCCCTGCAGGCCATGCATGTTTCTCCACCAAGGAGCGGAATACCCCAGCTTCAAGATTATCGCCCATTGGGGGTGGACCTGTCGGGGTCTGGCTTGCTAACAGAATGAGATTGTCCTGCGGTGAACTGCTCGCAGAGTCCTGCGCGGCCACTGCACGCAGCTGATTAGAAAGAGGGAACAATTAGCAAAGTAAAAGGGATTGAACGGACCAGCAGACGGTTCCTCGTCTAAGCGCCGACGCTTACGATTCCGACCAGCCTTTTTCTCTTTGTCCCCGCGCTTTGCTTTCACATGGTGCACTGGAAACAAACACGCACGACACACGCACGATACACACCACACAAGCAGGTTTGACGTGTGAGCGATCAATGGGATGTTACTCAGCCATAGGAACCCCGCGTACAGGGAAGTGAATAGGTCTCCAGGCCCGTAAGGGACTTAACGACAAACTCGACCTCAAGCTCACTTTTCGGGTGATCGGAGATACAGTGCACCTGCCACGCGTGAATAAGAGAAAGTCAGCAGACCCGGCCTTAACACTTCACACAAAGGCGAAAGGGAATTGTTGGCTTGGCGTGCGTACCATCATCTGAAACGTGCAGCTTCCCTCCTGATCGAGCTGGAGAGTCTGGCCAAAGGGAGAATGCATCTGGACCAGGCTCGGGTTGGCATACTTGTCGTCCTTCTCCCACGCGCTTTCCTCCGCGGCCGCTTTCCGCTTTGCCTGGCGGTCCCGCTCTGGTTTGGGTCCCATATGTGCATGCATCATCTCGTTCTGGCACTTCTTGAGCAGCCTTCGCCCCAGCTGCTCTCGGCGCTCCTGGCACAAGCGCGCCACGCAGCTTCCGCAATTTACCTGAAGAAGAAAAGAAGAGAAAAGAGTTGAGAAAAAAAAAGACAAGCCCGGCGGAAAAGACCTGTTCGTGGGTGCGCTTGGCCAAAAGCCTGGCTTCGAGCTGGGCACAGCCGGGAGGTGCGCGCCCGTTACTCCAGAGCTTGTCATTGCCGTCGCTCCAGTTGCGGTCGCTAATCCACAAGAGCGCCCCCGGCTGACCGACGTGGCGCAGGCGAACCCCTTCGTAGCGCCCGCGAGCGACCTCCCTGTGTGCGAGCCTTTCGGCGCGAGGGTAGCCACCAGCGGCTTCTTGGCCTGGGTCGTAGTCCATCGTGTGGCTTTTTTGGTCTTGTGTGCGCTTGGTCTGCTTTAAATTATGAGCTAGCGGAAGATGAACTGGAGTGCTCCTCCGCCGGTGTGGGTGGCCCTGTTTGAATGTGTGAGGAGACTGTCCGCTTCTCAAGCTTCCGATATTCAGAAATTTCGGTCGATAGTGCGATATTTCACCGACGCCAAATTTCGGCCGTCGCAGCCAATGAATGAGCGAGGAATGGTTGCAGTGCCACATCGCTGGCCTCCCACCAAAAAACCATGGCTTACATACTATGTGGTGCACATGTTTCTTTTTTGTTATCTCACACACACAAGATGAACTTGAATGCTATACTCCTTTATGCGTCCTTTTCGATGCGCTTAGTGGGCCACTGTGCTCTGCTCGGGCTATTTGGGTTCGCTCTGGTCGAGGTGGTCGGGCTGCGCAGACCTTCGGAATGCGGGAGGTCATGACTGGCTTGGGCCAAGCTCTGGCATCCGACAGCGAGCGGCCACATTCCTTCGGGAGCGAGCTGGCAGCGGCGCAAGGCGCAAGCGGCGGACGGGTGGTGCGGGCGGGTGGTGCGGCTCTCTTCGTCGACGGACGAGGAGCTGCGGATATCTCGACAGATCGGCGCGATTGCTTGCCGAGTGTCGATC